TTACGACTAGCACCTTGAAGCGTATCCGGAGACTGATCGGTAACCAGTGCAGCTCGCGGAGGATAGGTGTAACGTGTAACACAATCGCTCGTGCGGCTGCGTTCTGGACGAGTTGAAGTCTCCGAATACTCTTCAAGGGCTGCCCCATGTAGAGCGCAGATCCTCCATAAGGCTTCCAATTCTCCAGAGTGGATTTTAAGGGTGTGCAGAGAGACATAGATAAAAAGAAAAACAATGGACATTCCATTTCACAACCAGACATCTGCTTATATAAAACCAAATTCTATTTTATTTCTATTTTATTACCTAATGGCAACAGTTGTTGTTATTTTCTTACTGTCTAAGTAAAAAAGTATTATGGTTTGGGAATCACGAATGGAAATGGACTTATCATAAGACTCGAAATAATAATAAAACAGCCTGCAGGGGCTTAACTACCATTTTGCCCCAAGGTCTAGCAGTACAGCTGAATTATTTTAAGTGATTTAAACAGTCTTAGCTGTGTACCTGGATGAAATAAATTGCAGGATTCTAAAGTGATATACATGCTGGCAAAACCAAATAGCTTTAATGCAGAATGTTAGATTGGAATGTGCAACATTGCTACTTCCATTACTGAAGACAGAATGCCATTTCATTTTTAAGCTTTAAGGCATAAAAACCATTTAGAAATGGGTTTAGATGTAGCGTGGCTTACTTGCCCACATCTGCTTGTGAAATAATGAGAAGCAAAGATGTTTGTCTTTCATAACACTGTGCTTCGTAATATATACCATGACCAAGATGATGGTCACCCTGATTTATTTCCCAACATCTTTAACCTAAAAGTATTTAATAAAGAAAACTGAACATGTCATGAATTTGCAAAAAAACATTTGATCAATGTTTACCGAAGCCATGAGAGAGCATTCTTTCATAATGACTGTAAAAGAGATCACATATATAAACTATTTTCAAAGTAATCAATATGCTGATAATAAGAGAAGCTTAGATGAAAATTGTTTACCTAAAACTTTCAGTCTTTCTGCTCCAACGACCACTTCATTATCATCTGCAGAAAATAACAATTTCCCTGAAGTGGTTAGCACTTGAAATTTTTGGCTGTAGGCTTCCACTGCTTTGGGACCTAAAGAAAATAAAGAATTTAGTGGTCTATATAACTAATCTAATCCTGGAAATTATACATAACTAATATTTATTGAGCATAATGAACAGAGCTTCTTATTAGTTTATGCTAATAAACCTGAATAAATAAATACACGTTCCTTGAAATACTGATAAACGTGCCTGCCTATATTCTATTTACAGCATGTTACTTTAAATCAATTAAGCATGTATTTTACATTTATATTATTTTAAAAAAAAACACTACTCTGTTGTTTGTTATTGATTTGAACACTGTCAAAAAACATTTTCAAGTTGTCATTACAAGCTAAAAATCCATGAAATTATGAATCAGGAGCTTCAACATTTCCAGTAAATGAAACACTAGTTCCCCTATATCTCCATAAAGGGAAAGAAAAGATGTCTGGTAGAGATAATCTGAGAAAGAACTGATGGCATGGAATCTATTTATGTATTGTATTTTTTCAGCATATTATACAGATGTATATTATGTAGATGCCATAGAGTAACACAGCTCACCTCTGACAGTACCGTTAAGATTAGAACTTACATATCGCTTGCATAAAATTCTCATTTAGAAACTCAGAGTAAAATTCAAAGTATATACAGGTGAAACTCGAAAAATTAGAATACCATGCAAAAGTTCATTTATTTCAGTAATGCAATTTAAAAGGTGAAACTAATATATGAGATAGACTCATTACATGCAAAGCAAGATAGTTTGCTTTGATTTGCCATAATTGTGATGATTATGGCTTACAGCTCATGAAAACCCCAAATCCACAATCTCAGAAAATTAGAATATTACATGCAATCAATAAAACAAGGATTGTACATAGAACAATATCAGACCTCTGAAAAGTATAAGCATGCATATGTACTCAGTATTTGGTTTGGGCCCCTTTTGCAGCAATTATGTCTGGTAGAGGCGTGGCATGGAAGCTATCAGCCTGTGGCACTGCTGAGGTGTTATGGAAGACCAGAATGCTTCAATAGTGGCCTTCAACTCTTCTGCATTATTCGGTCTCATGTCTCTCATCTTTCTCTTGGCAATGCCCCATAGATTCTCTATGGGGTTCAGGTCAGGCAAGTTTGCTGGCCAATCAAGCACAGTAATCCCACGGTTATTGAACCAGATTTTGGTGCTTTTGGCATTGTGGGCAGGTGCCAAGTCCAGCTGGAAAATGAAGTCAGCATCCCCATAAAGCTTGTCTGCGGAAGGAAGCATGAAGTACTCAAAATCTCCTGGTAGATGGCTGCGTTGACCCTGGACTTAATGAAGCAAAGTGGACCAACACTAGCAGATGACCCCAAATCAACACAGATGTGGAAACTTCATACTGGACTTCAAGCATCTTGCAGTGTGTGCCGCTCCATTCTTCCTCCATACTCTGGGTCCTTGATTTCCAAATGAGATGCAAAAGTTGCTCTCATCAGAAAAGAGGACTTTGACCACTAAGCAACAGACCAGGTCTGTTTTTCTTTAGCCCAGATGCTTTGGACATTGTTTGTTGTTCAGGAGTGGCTTGACAAGAGGAATAGGACATTTGAAGTCCATGTCCAGGATACATCTGTGTGTGGTGGCTCTTGATGCACTGACTCCAGCCTCAGTCCACGCCTTGTAAAAGTCCCCAACACTTTTGAATGGCCTTTTCCTGACAATCCTCTCCAGGCTGCGGTCATCCCTGCTGCTTGTGCACCTTTTTCTTCCACATAACTTTCTATTAATGTGCTTTGATACACACTTTGGGAACATCCAACTTCATTTGCAATTACCTTTTGAGGCTTTCCCTCCTTATGGAGGTGTCAATGATGGTTTTCTGCACAACTGTCAGGTCAGCAGTCTTTCCCATGATTGTGATCTCTACTGAACCAGACTGAGAGACTATTTAAAGGCTCAGGAACCCTTTGCATGTGTTATGGCTTAATTAGCTGATTAGAGTGGGACACTTTGAGCCTAGAATATTGCATCTTTTCACAATATTCTAATTTTCTGAGATTGTGGATTTGGGGTTTTCATGAGCTGTAAGCCATAATCATCACAATTATGACAAATCACAGCTTGAACTTGCTTTGCATGTAATGAGTCTATCTCATATATTAGTTTCACCTTTTAAGTTGCATTACTGAAATAAATGAACTTTTGCCCGATATTCTAATTTTTTGAGTTTCACCTGTATGTATTTATTACAACACTTGTAGGCCAACCATCCCTACACATCTCTAAGAGACTTACAAAAACACAAAAGCAATTGTAGAAAGATAAATAAAACAAGAAATAAAAAAATGAATAAATAAACAAATATGATTTTAGCCTATTCATAGTCTGTTATAAACAGAGGCTTGCCTTAGTACTACAATAGTGGCAATACATTTCATAACAAGGGCTTACTATACAGAAAACTGAATTTATCACTGTTATTTTAAATGTCTTGTCTGTAACCTCCTCTCCTGCATTTAGGTAAACTGTTTCATCCATTTAACTAAATTAGATGTATAATAAGAGACACAAATTATCTTGTTTCTGAATAGAAACTTCTCTTCCATCTATTCATGTGAGGAATTCCATTGGTGGGAAGACACATTTTGCATTCCCCAGAATTACCTTCCATAACATATTTGACAAATTTATCAATCAGTGAGAGAACACATTTGGAGAGAGTGAGTTGCACCAGTGGGAATTGACTAAAGTAATTTATTTTCCTTATTTCTGAGTGAGAGCAAATACTGAACAGAGCTCTATTTAAGAAACTCCCCAACCCACCCCCTCTCTCTCCATATACATATATACAAATTTATGTATATCAATATCAATCATTTGGTTCTCTCAACAACATCAATCATTGGTGTGCCTGACACTACCACAGGCAAAGATAAACTTTTCCTGAAAAACAAAAGGCCAATGGAAATGAAAAAGAATTTTAGCCAAACTTGATTGACTAGAACATTTTAAATGTTCTTATTATGCTTTCAACATTATAGAAAATATTGTTTAACCTGAGCTCAGTTTAGAGTATACTGAAGAACAGAAAAAAATATGCCCTATAAAGATTTGAAATACAGCAATAATAATAATAATAATAATAATAATAATAATAATAATAATAATAATAATAATAATAATGATTTTCAACAGCAGTTTTATTCTTTTCTCCTAACAGAAAAGTAAGCCTCAAAGAAGCCTCCTATACTTCTAATAAATCTTTTTTGAATAAAATGCCTGACCCCTTCTCCCACATATCTCCATTTATTTGCCATAATTTCTGATTGCTCCTATTTCCTAAAAAAATAAAATAAAATAAAAAAGTACAGGCTGCTCTTCATTTAACGAAAGATTGGGCATCACTTCTATATCTATTAAGGTTCTCTTGTTGCCTTTTAATCAGGAGCAAAATCATATTTAAACAGCTATAATACTGTACAAAGTACCTTTCTTTGAATACATTTTACAAAAAAAATGATCTATAACTATATCTATATTGTAAGTTAAGCTTCTCCTTCTACAGGCATGCCCTATATCACTTCTGGTCAACAATTAATATGTAAGGATGCTGTGTTCATAAGGAGTACAAGATATTTGACACAAAAGATAAGCCATATAGTTCAAAGAATAAATTAGGAAACAAATTCATTCAAACACAACGTGGCCAAGGTCTACATATTTAGGAGTGAGGGAAAAGTTACTTCCATTCTAAATATAGTTTTCAATTAAATACATATATTACAGTTGAATTTTATTAACATTGGTAATTACCTGACATTTTTCACTTCCAAAGGGGAATGTATTTTTACCATTTTAATATATTTTGTATTGAATTATCATAGTGAAATTAGATTAATTTTTGCATTACTTCAATAAAATGGAATCCACAGTGAAAAGGGTTATGTAGTATTGTTGCAACTGCAAATTTGCCTCACTGACATATTCCAGTTGTCATTGCTATGCTATTATTTCCCAAAAGAGAGAGGTTAGGACATTATTATAGTATAATATATTACTGTTATTATTGTAATTTTTAAAGTTATCTAGCTAATCGCACACTCTGTGTGGTTCATCAATTGCAGGATAATTTGGGAGCTGATTTTTACAAGTGTAAAGTCAAAGATCAAAGCTAGCAAATAATGAAATAACTCACATTCAAAATCTTAATGTGATTATATAGTACTGTACTATACTAACCGTAATGCTGAATATTATTACATATTATTCGAATCAGATGTCACAGGGTTGAAATTAACTTCTTGGCAGCATCATTTCACAAAGGTATTAAGAATTAATAACCAAAGATGTCATTATGAAAACTTTGTTAAATGAACTTTTAAATTTTTCATAGGTACATGCAAATAAATAGATTCCTCACTTTCTCCCTGATGGAAGAGATATGAACTAATCTCTACTGGGTTATTCTGTGCTAGAACTATTGAAGACTGTATTTGTCTTCAAATCAGGGGAGGTCTATGGAGATTCTCAGTCATCCATGTCATGGTTGTCCCAAAGATGCTTTTTCAAGAGGCAACTGGACTTTCTGGTTTTTCTTTGAAGACATTTTGCTTCTCATCCAAGAGCTGAAAAAGAAAACCAGAAAGTGCAGTTGCCTCTCAAAAATTCACCTTTGGGATATGAGGGAAAGATTTTTTCACACTGTCCCTATGTCCATCTTTTATCTATCCCATAGTTAATTAAGTGAGTCTCTGTGTTTAAGAGAGATAAAGGTTATTTTTCCTCCCATTCTTATTTTTCTTCAAGATGTAGCTTAGACAGAAGCAGGGCTTTCCAATCCTGCCCATTTCTTAATAAATCTTGCTTTTACTTCAAATAAAATGAGTCTTTGCTAGAAATCACCAGTTAGGAACACTGAGTGTGTGTTTTTGTCTGCTTATATTTTGGATCATATTCTCTCCCAACAGCATCTGCTGTATCAAATCTCTTACAACAGCTGGCTAAGTCTAAAAGATGAGGACAGACTGGCCCAATGGCACAAAGCACTATTCAGTAGGTTGCTCACTTTTGTGGCAGGCTACAGTAGTTGAATGATACAAGAGTAAAGATTCTGAACTAGCCTTCCCTTGCAGATCCCTTAATCCAGAGTTTCCCCACCAACCGGGCTACCATGTTAGAAACTGGGTTGCAAAGCTGGAAATGAGCAGTGGGTGAGCAAGCAAGCAAAACTGGAACCATCCTCTCCAATCTGTGGAAAAATTATCTTCCATGAAATTAGTCCTTGATGGGGACCATCAGATTGGGGACCACTGCCTTAGTTGACAATCTGGAATGAACTTGATATCAACATTGGAGTATATTAAGCTTCTTTTCTGAGAAGGATGGTCATATCCACTCTGGCAAGCAAGGATCCATTTCAAAAATATCTGAAGTGTATCAGTGAAAGAAGCATATTGTATGTTTGGTATTCCATTAGAAGGAAGGAGGGTTTCCATATATTTTCATGCACTGGTTAGGTTAGCCTGATTAGAAAAGTTAAGACTAATTAGTGGTAACTAATCAGTTACACTGATGAGAAGGGTTAAAATGCTGATGGATTTGATTAATCTCATCGATACCCTTGGAGTTTTTCCTGCTTTCTTTATTTGTGATGGTGTCACTTCTAACCCTAATCCTTTGCCAAAGAAATCAATGATGTTTCAATCATCCTGGCCTTTTTACTTTTGGTTGGTTACATTTTTAAGTATTAGTCATGTAATTTTCTTAAAATGATAGTATACTAAGAGGTTTATGTTATATTTTCTTGTTTCTTGTTAGCTATTTTGAAAACCCTATGGTTAAAAGGAAGGATACAGCAGGAATGAATGGAGTCAATCCAGAAATGATCCTTTTTCAAATTTCCACTTACAGCCCAGTTCAAACCAACATCATACTCCAAGAGATGGACGCCACTAAATACTCAATACTTTGTGACTACTCCACAAAGCTCATTACATTTTTAATTTTAGTCTTACTTAAGACTAAATTGTTCCTCTTAGTTCTAAGTTAGCATTATTTTATGGGCATGCATAGAACAGTCTTAAATTAAATCTTCTTGATTGTGTTTGACAAACTCAAATACATGGTTTTTCATATCAATCTACAATTTATCTACAGGAATTATAACAAAACTCTTTGTCCTATGTAACACAAAATACCTGACGTTTGTAAAATATCTACTCTATTAATTCCTGTCAACTTCTATTTCTTCCAAGATACAGAAACTCAAATTGGAATGTTCAAAGCAAACTACGAAACTTAACAAAAGCCACAAAGTACGTAGTTACAGGACTGTATAAAGATGGAAAAAGATAGTGAGTTTTGTTAGGACTTCAGATGAAATACTCCTTTGAAGCTGCTGCATGGAAAAAGGAGAACTTCTGCTTCTGAAGCTCAAAGCAAAGCCACTGCATTTTGGCATGGTTCAGTACTTCTAATAGAAGAGTCTGGCTTTGAAAGCACTGGGCAAAGTCCCCAGTGTGACCCCCTCCCCAGCCCCTCCATTTCTGAGGAAATGGAAACAAAGAGTGAGAAAATACAGTTTTCTTCCTTTTGGATGCCTACGCTATTTACACTTTTTTTTTTTCTTATTTACAAAACTGGAATGCATTTCTTTTTAAAATCAACCAGGTTGAAGAATGATTGCGTAGCTGCTAAAACATGCACGCAAAAAACACTGGATGTGGCTTCCTCTGTTTTGCTCTTCTTGTTTCAAAAGTGAAGTTGCATTTTTTGAGAGAAACTCACACTCCAGACGTTTTGGCAGATGGCACGAGTCTTCTAATAGCAATACTTCCATGGTGTTTGTGATTCCTTTGCTCCTCTTACTATTTTCTGTTATTCAGACATTGGTACAACTCCTCATGTTCTGCCCTCCAACAGCAGATGAGTCACCAACCATTCAACCCTAAAGCAAGTGTTGACCAAGCTCCTTTACTGAATTACTTAGTCTGCTGTCTGGAACACAAAATGGTCTAATTTCACCCAGAATGATATGTGGTTGCGTGATTCCCATCTCCCAATCCTGGGCTGTATTCTTTGCTGCTGTTGCTGCTATTGTAAAAGCTTACCCATGCTTAGAAATGACAGGTCTGCTGGGGAATTTCAAAAGCCTCCACTTCCCTGTCAAACATTGAGTGTAGCATTTTGTGAACATAAATGGTACTCATCTGCACGAGGGATTTTTAAAAAGATTTTTAGAAATCGTTTAAAGACAGAGGACTTCTGTGCTATGAATATTAATCAGATTGCTTCCAGTTGTTTCAGGTATGTGTAAAGTATTCAGGGATCGTCTTCTGCCTGTTCCAAATCTTTGAGACAGCTGGTACCTTACTGTTTAATATTTATAATGGTATCAGAAATGACAACTCCATTCTGAAGTTCTGCTAGAATTAAGGGAGCATTTAGTTTCTAGATCTGTGAATTCTCAGTGTCCTGAACATGCCTGCTTCTTTAGTTCACATGCAGGCTTTATCTTTCTTCAGCTTTGCAAGGGCAAGCTGGGGTCATAGTTTGTATCAATGGAGGTATGTTACTGATTATTATTCCAAGGGCTAATGCTCTCATCATCCTGCCCTTTTGGTTCCCCTTTTCTCTTCCTCAGATATTTCCCTTGCCTTACCTGTTACCAGACGTGTAAGAACTTTACTCTCCTCATTGAGAATGTTCACTGTAACATTCTGAGCAGACTGGAAGTACAGAGGGTTGCCCTACAATAGGAGCACAAGAAAAAGAAATTAATGAGGTGGACATCACTTCCCATAAGAAAATGCACTTTCTCTGACCTTCTTCCTAACCCAGTAGGGCGGAAATGCCTAGATCAGTTTTATACCTATTTGGTAAAATGTTCCATGGCTTCTTTTCAGTTGCTCAATAAAATGCCTGGAAAAGTAAGAGCGTTGTACAATATGACCAACTTATTTTTAAGTGGTAGAAATTTGCATAGATTTGCATAGATATGTGATAGCAAATCACATTTTGAAGTTTGGTCTGAGGCATAGTCAATAGTGTTCTGCCTGGTATTGGTAATAAAAAAAAATCTAAATAGATAGGAGGATAAAAGAGATTGAATGGAATGTTGAATGCTACTACTAGCTGTTACACTGATTTGCTATAGTTTCAAGTTACATTTTCCTATACCACATTTTTTTTAACTTTTCTTTTTTAAAGGAAGTCTATTAGACTACTTGCCCAACATACATTCCTAATTGCTATCATGAGAGACTTGGCTCAAATTGGCCATTTTTTAAGTTCATCTTTTAAAAACACAAAGTGGTATTCAAACCTAAAAGATATAATTGTGCCATAGACATGGTTACCAAGTGTTACTCCATTATGTCACTGTCCCTGCTCCTTGCAGGTTGAATCTCCATTGGAAAAAAATGAAAATCATCAAAACTGAATGAAAATATTCATATGGCTTAGCTGCATTTTTTTAAAAAAATCCCAATATCCTACTGGATACTATCCTACCGGACATTTTATAGTGGAAAATGGAGACTGTTTCAACTGCTTGATCTTTGCATTACCAAGATAGCCTAGCCATGCTCTTCCCAAGCTCTACACAGACCAAGGAAACAAGAATTATTAGAATGATCTCTTTAAGCTAGTTAGGTGTAGATACAGAATCCTAGAAACTGTGAGAGGGATTTCCCATCCCCATCTACAGTAAATCCATAAGCCCCGATTAGGAGTAAATCCATAAAGCAGTGTTTCTGAATGATTCGGAACACTGCTTCACAGGTTTATCTCCACCTGGTCTAAGTTACACTACAATAACTTGATATTTGACTTTAGATTGCTTATGTGTATTTTCTCTTCCATTCCTGCCCTGGCTTGTCCAGAAATGCTCATACAACTCCCTTCTCCTGCTCCCTACCACCATGGAATGGAAAGGAAGATTCTGTGAACACCCCTTCACAGGCATGGCTGCCTGACTCTTGTACAAGGAAGAAGACTTTTTAGTCCAAGGAAGAAGACTAGGATGGAAGTGGGGACAAGAACAAGGACTATATTTCAGTCTGAATCAATAACCATTAACCAGAGGAAGACAGTTTCAAGGGTTTCCATTTATAGAGTTACTGCAGATACACAGCTTGGGATGTATGCATATTAATTGCAATTCCCCAAGATCTATTAGAGTAGATCTAGTGAATTAAGTATTCCATATTGCCCCATCATTGTTTAAAATCTAAAATACACTCTACTTTATATTTTTCCTGCCAAGACAAAAGGGAAGGAATAATGGAGGGGTTGCAGAGCATCATGTTCTTAATAAACAGTAGTTAATAAAGAATAGAAATCAATGGAAGGCCAGATGGATCTTCACCGAAATTGGCACTTGTAAACAAAAGGTGACTACTAATTGGTGTGGATAAAGAAAAGGGGCTGATAAATTTTGAAACTAACTTCCTTGAAGGGCAGAAAAATGGCAAAAACTTAGTTGAAACCTCACAGCAATACTTAAGCACTCTTGTCTATGGCCATCTGTCATATATTTATGAGCCACTGTGGCAAGGTCCAGCTGCTCCTTGAGAGGGAGTTGTGCTACTTGCTGTTCCTTTAGGAAGGTGGATGTATTCTCATCTGAGAAACTGCAAATGAGGGCACCTTGGAAGATTAATGGTACAGATTACAGCTATAAACCATCTGGATAAATTGTGGCATGCAAAGGATTGTTATAAGCAAATTCTGGGCACTAAGTCCAACCAATTGACCTGTTGATACAAGACATAGCAGTGTAAGTATTGGTAAAGTGTTGTGTTGGTTCTCTCTGTCTCCCTATCTGTCTTCAGGGAGTTGGTAGATGATAAATGAATTTGCATATGAAAAATCTGGAAGAAAGATTTCCAAAAAAGGGATGCAAATTGGGCTCAATGATCATACCTATAATGAAATACATGGATTAAAAAGAGCTTGACAGTTTGTCCTGCAGAGTTACATATAGGTAGTAATTTTTTCCATCTTGGTAAACAGATCAATCATCATAAAGTCAGACAGATGCGTAATAACATCCCATAAGATTTTATTCCAAATTCTAGACTAAGATGGAAGGGTTTGGCCACAACAGACTTGCCTTGACAATAGGCATGATAACAAGAAACATAGTCCTAAGCATCCATCTGCATGCGATGGACCGTCAAAGCAGGGTCTTAGAAAAGTGACACATATTAACAAACAATGTAGAAAAGACCAAAGAACTATGTATCCTCGAACCAGTCTAGACACATGGATACTATTGCTGCTGTAGTCTCACATAGCCTAGAGCAGGGGTGTCAAACTTGCATAGTCACATTGTTGTCACGTAATATATCACAACTTTCCTCCTAAAATGGGGGTAGGCATGGCCAGTGCATGATGAATCCAGCCCATGGGCTACGAGTTTGACATCCCTGATCTAGGGGATCAAAGTTTCTAAAGTTTTGGAAAGTGAGTGCCTGAGAATAACATGGGTAAAGCAAAAGATTCAGATTTCTAGATATTGGTAGGAAATTGCCAATTGATTTACTGATTGTTTATGTAGACTCTTCTAATTTTTTCCAGCTTCCCCTTTATATATCACATCTGTTGAAATTAGCAGCAACTTTCCATGTTCCTAATAGGAACTTTAATGCCAGTATCTGTTATCCTTTCAAATAAAGATGCCAGGATCTTTCCTGCTCTTGATGACTTGATGGCCGGATGGATGACTAAATCCAGGAATTATTCAATTAGTGATCAGCATCATCACAGTTCAGAACATATCCTGTTTGGTAGCAATACCCTCATATAATGAAAAATGCCGCATGCATTGACGCATGTGAGTATCTCTAAATTAATTGAAGCATATGAGTATCTCTGAATTAATGAATCTGAATTTCTATAGTTCTTCTATGCAAGCAGCACTTGCTTTCTGAATGAGACATTTTTAATTTAGAGGTGCTCATGTTAAAGAATATAATTAGGCATATATTTGTTCTGCTAAATGCAACCTAGCTTTTGCTTTTCAAACCAAATGGAAAGACAAAGTTGAGAATATAAACATCGTATTTCATGTGTGTGTGTGTGTGTGTGTGTGTGTGTGTGTGTGTGTGTGTAACATGACTTGACTTGTCATCCTTCTGGTTGAATTTATTCTGGGCTATGAATTACAGATAGTCCTTGGTTAATGATGGTTTGAAATGACAATGGCTCTAAACAAGTGTTACCACTGATTCTCAAAGTTCAGCTGTTTCAGCAACCCTGTGGTCATGGGATCATGATCTGGGCACTTGGCAACTGGTTCACACTTATAACTGTTCCAGGGAGCCATTGTTATGTGATCTCCAACCTTCTCTGACATCTTCTCACAAGCAAACTCAACATGGAAGCCAGCAAGAGAAGTCACAAGTCAATCCTTTAAGTCATTCCCACTTCTACTGCTTTTCCCCCCTGAGAAGCCTGGCTGCAAAGTACAAGATCCCAGGGATCTCATACTTCAATGTGCATGCCTGCCTGCAGCACCTTCTTCCTGCATTTGGCTGTACACATCTAGCTGGCTGTTCTTGAGTGGTGCATTTACTCATTCACTGGTCGGCTGGACTTATAACTTTCTGCCAGCTATCCCATTGATTTTGCTTGTTGGAAGTCAGCAGAAAATTGCAAGGAGGTCCTCACTTAACAACCCATGACCCTCACTTAATAACAGCAATGTTGACTGCTCAAAATCACACGTAGATGATATCAGGGTAGAGCCCAATGTACAAAATCTTCTCTACTGCTTCCCCACAGCAGCGAAGAAGATTATTTCATACAGCAAAGTGCAGTCTTTTCTGCTCCAAATAGGTTTCGGCCCACTCCAACTTAGTGCCTTTTGTAAGCAAGCATCTTAACTGAAAACATGACTTTCCCATAAAATAGAGGAATTGCTTCTTTAAGTTAGTTTGTTAGTCAAGGGTTATGACAACAAATTGCTGATGGTAATAATGTAAAAACTACCATCATCACTCTGATCCAAAATTATTCAATACGATCATCATTAAACGGTGGGAACATTTTTTTTTCTATGCCTACTCCATCCACATCTCAATGCTGCCAAACTGCACTGTTTGTTGCATTTAAAACCTGTGAAATTATATTACTTTGGCACGAAATCTATAGCTAAGGGAGATGGAATGGAGCTAGCTTGACTTAAAAAAGCCATGATTTGAGTAAGACAATTAAAAAAAGCCCACCCTCATCTCAAACAGAAAGATCACAATTTATAAGATTCAGATACAGCTCAGCTGCTGAACAGTGACAAGGGTTTACAGGAGTTCACAGTTGATTCTGGAGGCTGAAAGGCTCCATATAAAAGAAAGTGTTGGGCTGCTTGTTTCTTTAATGCTCAGGTAGTTAAGCAAAGTCCAAATCGTTTAGACACCTAGGATGATACAATTGCAAATGCCAAGTGCCAATTGAAACAGCAAAAAAACCCTGCCTTTAGTATAATTATAAGAAAAGTATGTTGATGAAGAACAGATAAAAGAGAGTTTGGCATTGTGATTAAATCTAAAAACTGGAGACCACGTGTTCTTGTCCTCCCCTAGGTGTACAGTTAGCTGGGTAATTTTTAAAAGCCCATGGAAGAAAGGCAATGGCAAACCACTCCTAAAAATGTTGCCCCCAAAATGGCATGAACTTGTTCAACCAAAACAAACTTGGAAGGAAAAAAAAGTAACTACTCATCGATAACATTTTAATATTCTAGACA